CATTTTCATTTAGAATATCCAGAATTCGCTGAACCTGGCACATGCATAAAACTCTTTTGCAAAGGTCGTCCTTGTGTTCGATGCAATAAATGCAGTGATTGGCGTTTTGATGGTGATGAGTACACATGGTACTGGATCCGTGATTATAAAAATTGGGGTCCGGAAGACCGGAACCGTTGGAGAAATGGTGCTTACAAGTTTTTTAGTAGACATAGTGATGCAACGTGTTGTCATCCTTTTTTTGATGATTATCGTGATTATCGTGATGGTTATCGTGCTGATTATCGTGATGATTATCGTGATGGTCGTTATCGTGATGATTATGGTGATGGTGGTTATCGTGATGATTATGGTGATGGTCGTCGTGATTATCATGTTGGTCGTGATCGTTATCGTGATGGTTTTCCTGATTCTCATGATTTTTTTGATCATGTTTGTCTGTGCGAAATGCGCTAAAAGATTTTTTTTTCGAACTGGAGGATTTTTTAAGTGAATTTTTTATTGTGCCAGTTGTGTGTTACTTAAAATAAATTTATAACTGGAAGAAACACAAGATAACTCACAAAGCGCAGTATGATTGACTTTGGCTGTTGGGCTTAGTCTCGTCGTTCAAGTAACTGTGGGCACCATGGTGATTCTTCGCGAAGTAATGGTGAGTGTGTATGAAATTTTGAAGTATAGATATCGCTGGTGTACTTTGTGTATTATTTAAAAACTAGTTTAAAAATAAATAAATAAATAAACGTATAAAATTAAATAAAAATATTGTTTTAAATTTTGGAACATTAAGTGCTGTTAAATAATATATAATTGGAGATAAAAATACGCGAGAAACATTATCCAATGAAATATTTTATTCAATGGATGAATGTCTTTACCAATGGAAAAAATATGGGAAGTTTTATGTGGTTGAGATAATCTACATTTACTCGCACGTACATACACTTTTTCGCCATTGGATAAGAATTATACACTTCGCCTCTGTAATAGAAAAGAGGCCGTTCACTATCGATCTTTTTGAGGACTTATATAGTACAGACTTGAAGATAGAAAAAAAAATAGAATGCTAAATCAAAAATGCTTTTCTTCAATAATTTTAATTTCAACGTAGTATGTTTGAATATGTGACAGTCAACATTTATTATTAGAAAATGATGATAAATCAAATCTTATCATTAAAAGAATAAAGAAAAAGAAATTATTTATTTTTCGAAATAAAATAATTTATTTTGATCATCTCCCTTTATTTTCTGACAATGCATGTTTTCTTCATTCTCATTTTTTATTTTTAAGAAACAATAATAATAAATTAACTTTCCTAACATAGGTTAATTGAAAATGTTTTAATAACTTTTATTTATGTTCCTGAAAATTATTTAATTTTTTTCATTAAATAAAAGCTTTATTAAAATTATGAGTAGTTGGTTATTCTTATTCAGATATAATCTTTCTCTAATGAGTGCACTATTGTCGAGATGAAAAAATTAAAGAAAAAAAAGAAGTTTTTTGTGTTTATCTAGACGTTTATTGACTAGTTTCTGTGGAATTGTAACCCCACTTCTTCAGAACTTTACAAAAAACAAAAACAAAAATATATTTTGTCGAAAGCTACTCTCTAAAAAAAATTGGTGTCATAGGAAACTATTAAAGGTTTTCGCGAAGATCCAGAACCTTTTAAAGTTTCATTCGTTTATTAGTAAACCATCAAGAGGTTCTAGATGATTTTAGGAACCATGCCAAATAATAAATGGTTCCAGAGGTTGGAAAGAGTTCTATCTTCCACCATTTTTCTACATAAAGAACCCTGATAGATGTAAACTAGTTTCAGATATTTAGAAAAGTTCTATCACGCACCAATTTGTTTTCATAAAGAACCATGACTGATGAAAAATGGTTCAAAAGATTTAAAATGGTTCTGTCTCACATCTTTTGTCTTTATAAAGAGTCGTCACTGATAAAAAATGGTTCCAGAGATTTTAAAAGAGTTCTATACTGAACCACTTCTTTCTATGATGTATCAAGACTAAAATAAAATGGTTCCAGCGAATCAGAAGAGTTCTACATTGCACCATTTTTCTTATTAAAGAACCATGACTGACTTTAAATGGTTCTATGGATTTATAAGAGTTCTATCTTGTACCGTTTCTTCTCTATAAAGAACCTTGGTTGATAGAAAATGGTTTTAGCAATTTAAAAGGGTTCTATACTGCATCATTTTCTTTATGCTCTTCTTCTTTTAGAAATGTAGTTCTAGCACAAGTCGCTTGTATTGGATTGGAAATAAAAGAGACCAAACAGATTCTTTGAACTTTGTCAAGCGTTACTATTGTTAGCGTCAATAGAGGTCACTCTATTACCGCTAACTTCCAAATTGTGTTCTATTGGATTTTCCTCCACTTTCTAAGTGGTCAGTAGATATTTTTCTCTGGACTTTTCCAGTGATTATCCTTCTTGTTGTTTTTCTCGTCAGTTGATATTGAATCTTCCTCCCCGGTGGTCACAAGTTGTTTTTCTCTTCCCTTATCTTTTCCTCCTTTCATATTGTTCTTCATTGTTATATTATTATTATTATATGTTTATTGTTATATTCGTATTAATAAATCTATATATATTCAACACACTCACCTCATTATGAACATAACCAAAGTCAGTATGTTTATTTACCTTATTTACGTATGAACTCTCGTTCCCGTTGCAGACCGGGATTAAATGTACTGATCATCTAGCCAAAACCAATAGTGCGAGGCTAGAATCATAATTTCCCCAAACGAGAGTCTTACAATTGGAGGAGAAGTTGGGGATTTTTTGTCTGCATTTGCCCGTTTTGTAGTTTTGTTTTTCTTTTTTTTTCGCTTAGTTTTTTTGTCTCTTTTTTTCTAACTTTTTCCTCAACTATAACCTTTTTGAACTTGAACATTTATATTCAATCATCATATTTAAATGGATGATGATCACATTCCTCATTCAAACAAACCATTAACACATAACTTGATTTATAAACAAAACCCAGCATATCTATTAATAACTACTTCAACAATAAAAGAGGATTCTAAACTATTGAATCCATTAAATAAAAGTCTTAGAAAATCAATTGCTCCATTATCTCATTTACCTACGAATTCGTACAAGTTATTCAAAATGAATAATGACTTAAATCATCCATTAAATAAAAATTATTTATCGGAAGAAGCCAGAAAACAATTTCGACCTAACATTAAGGCTACTTCGATATGTCAAATAAACAAAGAAACTGAAGACGAAAACAATTTCGACTTATTTATCCTTCAAAATTTTACACCGTTTTCCGGGGAACAAGATGTTAATCAATGGTTGAGTGAAACCAAAATGAAATTTAGTCGACTTTTAATTCCAAGGAATTTACGTTTCACGGCAATTCCATTATTAGTGAAAGGACCCGCAAAAAAGGTTTACATATTGAATAGACGAAACATTCAATCCTTTGAAAACTTTTATGAAATATTATTATTACGCTTCGATAAAAATGTTATTCAATCAACATTGATTAATCAACAGGAAAGTGTTTTTTTCACAATCCGATTTATTTCATCATGTTAAATCGCCAGAAGACAAAACTTTACAAACTATGATGATATCCGAAAATATAAATGTATCAGAAAAACCATCAACACATCATTCTACTGTATTAGTTGATTCCGGTGCCGCCACTTCGAGTGGCGAGATACCAACCTTTCCATCAACAGTAGTTAATAAAAATCACACTATTAATAATAATACTTCGAATCTTGATGAAACAACAAATATATTTTCGAAAGTTCTACTTCCGACATCAACAAAAAACCCTAAGACATTAAAGGATAACAAAAATGATATCCAAAAATCCGCCTCAGGAATTGAATATCATTCAGGTACGACCTATGTTCCTCATTTTAGTCGATTATATTTTATCTCTTATGTATTACGATTGGACATTTTTTTTAATTATGCTGAATTTTATTCGTGACATCCATGATTTTTTTGGGAGATTTTTTACAATTTTTGATGGACGCTTACGAATGTATGCAACGGACAAGATAATGATAACAAACAGAGAAAGAATACAAAGAAATGAAAACGAACAGAATGAAAATCGAAATCGAGCCAATGATGACGATGTAGCGTGCATCGTTGCTTTTCTTTTGTTTATTCTTCCGATACCATATATCTTGACACCGAATGCACCATGCAGAGGGAAGGAATCGAACCTTCTGATCTCTGACTGTAATCAGATGCATAGAACCACTACGCCATCCCCGGCATTACGATTGGACATTGCTCAATGGCATAAACATAATAATATAGTATCAACTTCATGGAACATCTTCGTCTATAGAAAGAGGAAAAAAGTTAAACGTTTATCCACAAATGTTTACGGGAAAAATAGCTACGCAGAATGGTTTCGTATTCGTCGATAATAAGCATTCGTCTTTTCTTGTGCTCAACATTTGTTTGTTTTTTTTCCCTTGTATTATACTCATCACGTTTTCTTGTTTTTGTTATTGATCTTCATGTGTGTTATACCTAGTTTTCTTTCATTTGTTACATTTATCATCTTCTTTTGTATTTCTTGTTACGTTTGTTTACATTGTGCGCTACATTTCTGTAGTTTAAAGTTATAATTGATTAATTCTCAGGTTACCACCCATTAAGGTGACCAGATACCATGAGCAATCTTCTTGGCCGAAATAGGGAACCCCAACTTTCTCCCATACCTCAACTTATTATTCCTACCAATTATGATCCTTATGTTTGTTAAAGATACAAAAATGGAGTCGACTCACAGCTTTATGTTGTGGTCTTACGACCATTTCCATTGATCATAGTACTCAACATTATTTGAATTTTCATATCTCTTCTAACTGACCAGCATCTTAGTCCCAAACACTTTTTTTCTTAAACACATCCATTCATCTCACTTCACATTTGTCCTTTATCATCATCTTTATCATTCATCTACAACCTAGGTATATCTTGAAAGTATTCATTAGTTTATTGACCGTCCAAAATGATCTGTCATACAAAATATTACTTTGATATTACCTTTCATGCGGTTCTAAGGGCCCTACTACTGCATCGCGAGGACTTGTCCATCGGTCAAAGTCTTAAAACGGATCTCGCTCTTACAAGAGCTCCAAAAGGAATATATTTTTTTAAATGACATGCATGTGTGCTTGTGTATGGCAGGAAATATGGTTCATCTGATGGTTTATGAAAAACCTCAGATATCAATTTACCTTCTCTATTCTTCAGTTTAACGTCGAGATACTGTGCAGTCTGTCCTATGGATTCTGAAAATTCAATATTATTATCGATTCTATTTCAGAATTTCACAAAACCTTTTAATATGTCTGCATGTACATTCGACATGATAAATAGATCATCAATATATCTATAGTATAATGAACATGTCCTGTTAGCCCATTTTGATATTGGACGTT